TGTTTACGCATCAAAAATTAGTTCATAAAGATCGCGAAAATTTCACGTGCAACAAGTGCGAGAGGAAATTTGAAAATAAATCAACTTTACTCAAGCACAAAAAAATATTCCACGAAGTATTCCGAGATTACTTATGTGAAAGATGCGCGAAGAGATTTGATAATAAACAACGTTTGATCAAGCATATAAAAACAGTACACGAGGGTCAAAAAGATTTCGCCTTTAAAGTCTGCAAAGATTACTCATGTGACGATTGTGGGAAGAAATGTACAAATAAGCAAAATTTACTCTTGCACGTGGCAACAGTTCATGAGAGTCGCAAAGGTTATGCATGTGATGATTGCGAAAAAAAATTCGGAAAAAAATCTTATTTGCTTTGCAAATATAGCACGATCCACGAACGTCGAAAAGATTTCCCATGCCACAAGTGCAAAAAGAAATTTACACAAAAAAGGAATTTGCTCAGTCACTTAAAGAAAGTACACGAAGGTCGCAAAGATTACGCATGCGATACGTGTGAGAAAAAATTCGGACAAAAAACAGATTGGTTTCGGCACCAAAAGACTGTCCACGAAGGTCGCAAAGATTACTCATGTGACAAGTGTGAGAAGAAATTTGGACTAAAATGTACGTTATTTTTGCACCAAAAGACAGTCCATGAAGGTCGCAAAGATTATTCGTGTGACAAGTGTGAGAAGAAATTTGGACATAAACAGACTTTGCTTGTGCACCAAAATACAGTACACGAAGGTCGCAAAGACTACTCATGCAACAAATGCGAGAAGGTATTTGGAATAAAATCGAATTTGCTCAATCACCAAAGAGCAGTACACGAAGGTCGTAAAGATATCGCATGTAACAAGTGCGAGAAAAAATTTGGAGAAAAATGGATATTGACTAGACACCAAAGGACAGTCCATGAAGGTCGGAAAGATTTCACCTGTGACAAGTGTGCAAAAAATTTTACACAAAAACCGGCTTTGCTGTGCCACCTAAAGAATGTACACGACGATCGCACGCGACAAAGGCGATAGAAATTTTGAGAAAAATTAATTTTGCTCAGGTACCAAGAAACAAATATCCCACGAGGGTCGCAACGATTACGTATAAGAAAAGTACGCGGGGAAATGATAATTGGCAATTATAAATATGTAAAGATATATTTGTACATACTTTTTTCTAGAATTTTAATAAAAATTATGCCGAAATTGTTGAGTCTTGTCTGATATTAACTATCATTACACCTTTGTATCGGATAACGTATAAACAGATGATTGGTACCTAAATTGTAAACAATATGATCATCATTGATAACTGATACGCAACTCATCATGTTCAAATTGAAAACAATTTAGTTTGAACTTTGTCTTCTCTGATGAAATAAGTTATAATACTATAAGATAAATTATACTCATTCAATTTTTCTGGTACTAAATAGGAAGATCCACTGTTCAATTCAGCCACCAAAATGGATAAAAATGAAAAGAAATCCGAAAAAATTGTCTCTAAAGATAATTCAAGTGAACACGACATTGTTTTCTTTGACAAAAAACAACACGTTTGTGATATTTGCCAGGAGGCATTTACACTAGAAACAAGCATGATGACACACCGAGACACAATTCACAAGGAAAAAAAAGATTTCTCATGCGACAAGTGCGAAAAAAAATTTGAGTTCCGAAGTCATTTGAGTAGACACCAAATATCGGTGCACAAGGGCTGCAAAGACTTTTCATGCGATCAATGTGAGAAAAAATTTATGAAAAAATCTAGTTTGCTTACGCACCAAAAATTAACACACAAAAATGGCGAAAATTTCACATGCAACAAGTGCGAGAAAAAATTTGAAAATAAATCAACATTATTGAAACATAATAAAATATTCCACGAAGTTTTCAGAGATTTCTTATGTGAACAGTGCGCAAAGAGATGTGGAAATAAACAAAATTTGCTCAAGCATATAAAGACGGTCCACGAGAGTCGGAAAGATTTTGTATGCGACCATTGCGAGAAGAAATTCACAGGAAAAAAAAATTTGTCCGTACACATAAACACCATTCATGAAGGTCGGAAAGATTACGGATGCGACAAGTGCGAAAAGAAATTTGGAAGTAAATGGAATTTGTTGAAGCACCAAAGGACAGTTCACGATGATCGTAAAGATTTCGCATGCAACAAATGCAAAAAGAAATTTGGACAAAAATCGCATTTGCTTTGGCACCAAAAAACAGTCCACGAAGGTCGCAAAGATTACTCATGTGACAAATGCGAGAAAAAATTTGGACATAAATCGCATTTGATAAAGCACCAAAAGATAGTCCACGAGCGTCGCAAAGATTTTCCATGCGATGAGTGCGAGAAGAAATTTGGGGAACGAAGCAATTTGATCAAACACCAAAAGGTAATACACGAACGTCGAAAAGATTACTTATGTGACAAGTGTGAGCAGAAATTTGGACAAAAAGCGAATTTGCTCATACACATAACAGCGATCCACGAGGGTCGGAAAGATTATGCATGTGATAAATGCCAGAAAAAATTTGTAAGAAAATCCGATATGTTGAAACACAAAAAGACAGTTCACGAAGGTCAGAAAAATTACGCATGCGACAAGTGCGAGAAGAAATTTGGACAAAAATCTAATTTGCTCTACCACCAAACGGTGGTACACGACGGTCGCAAAGATTACGCATGTGACAAATGCGAGAAAAAATTTGGAAAAAAATGGCATATGATAGAGCACCAAAAAACAGTCCACGACGGTCGCAAAGATTACGCATGTGACAGATGCATAAAGAAATTTGGGAATCGAAGCAATTTGATCATACACCAAAAGTTAGTTCACGAAGACCATAAAGATTTCGCATGTGATGATTGCGAAAAAAAATTCGGACGAAAATCGCATTTATTAAAACATCAAAGAATAGTACACGAAAGTCGCAAAGATACTACATGCGACAAATGCGAAAAGTTATTTGGAAATAAACGTACGTTACTTGTGCACCAAAAAACAGTCCACGAAGGTCGAAAAGATTACCTATGCAACAAGTGCGAGAAGAAATTTGGACAAAAATCGACTTTACTTTTGCACCAAAGGACAGTACACGAAAATCGTAAAGATTACACCTGCGTTAAGTGCGAAAAAACATTTGGACATAAAAGTACATTACTTTCGCACCAAAATATAGTCCACGATGGTCGTAAAGATTATGCATGCGACAGATGCGAAAAGAAATTTGGAGATAGGAGTAATTTAAGCAAACACCAAAAAGCAGTCCACGAAGGTCGCAAAGATTACTCGTGTGACGAGTGTGAGAAGAAATTCGGACAAAAATCGAAATTGATCAGACATCAAAGAGCAGTCCACGATTTACACAGTCAAAAGATTACGGACGTGACTGGTGCAAAATTGGAACTCAAATAGGATTCGCTAAAGCACCAAAATACATTTCACGAAGGGCACAAAGGTTACGCGTTTGACTCAAATGCGAAAAAAAAATTTAACAGATATATTATTAAACAGATATTTGTACCTATATTTTTCTAAAATTTCAATAAAAATGGGGCCAAAATGATTGAGTCATACCTAATATCAACTATCATCTTACCTTTGTTGTTGGTGTCGTTGTGGCAGCAATCAACCGCGAGTTTTTTTCACGTCTTATCTTGAGATGTGATTTTTTGACAAACCTCTCGTTACCGTAAAAAATTCAACGTTGGAATCATTTAATAATTTAATTGAAACCAAAAAATTTTTTCTTAATTTTTTCAAAATTGCTTGAGCGTTAAACGAAAGTTGTCATAGAGTCGGTACTTTTTCAAATTACAAGGCATCAAAAAATGGACCATCGTCATTTCGCTCCCCACCTCATCCTTTATTTCTCGAATCCTTATTTTATTTCTTCCCAGCGTTTGACAATAATGATTTTTTCACGGATTTTCGCATCATATAACGTCACATCGTCGTTTTCGTGCGCTATAGGTGACTCGAACGCGCCCGTGTGCACACATATACACAAACAATTTCTTACTCTCTGTGCGTCGTTTTCCGCGAGACAGCCCCCCCCCCCCCCCCCCCC